GCTGCCCTCCTGTCACCAGAGTCTTAAGGGCTGCTGGCCTCTCCCTAGGAAGTGGCTCAGGCCCCCTGGGCCCACCAAAGACGTCTTAACCACAGTGAGAGCAGACACCTGAGCCCAGCGCCTGCCAGCCTCGGCAGCTCTGGGATGCAGCCTCATCCGCCAGCTCAGGAATTCCCTGGTAAAGGGAAACGTCGCTGGTCTGATTGGCCACTGGATCCTGGTGCATCAGGCTGAGGCTGTGGTCCCTCAAACCACTTCCTGGTGTGCCCACTATCCAGACCTCCACTCCCCTGGCTGGCCCCTGGGGGAAAAGCACAAGGGAGGAATCCACTTGGGAACCGACTTGCTCTGGGAAGCACAGACGGGTAGTATACGCTGCATCCACCAGAGTATCACTGCACTGGGGGCTCTTCTTGGCCTGAGCACCCAGACCTGGGTGGGGGTCAGGGACCCCGGCACTCAGGAGAAAAATTCTTGTTCCCTCCTCCCTTCCTTACTCCTCATCCATCCACACTCCTCCTAAAAATGATCCTAAGGATGTTATAGTTGAGCCCATGTTAGAGATTCCACACTGGGCCGTGTCCAGCCTGCCTGGCTCAGGCCCAGCGTTCCAGCTTCCTGCCGCCTGGAAAGCAGGGCGGCCCTTTTGCTGGCACAGAGGATGCGGGCACAGCAGGGCCAGGCCTCCGCTGGCTCCCGGAGAACAGGCAGAGGCTGAGCTTGGAGGAGGGGGTCACTGGATTGATTCACTTGTGTGTATGTGCTCAGGTGTGTGAACCATCGCGTCCCATGATGCCTGCACATGCGTGTGTGTCTGGGTATATTTGTGTAAACATGTGTCGGTGTGCCTGGCAGTGTCCGGCTGGTGTGTGTGTGTCTTCTGTGGAGGCCTGTCCGTGTGAGTGTGCCTGTGTTGTGAGTCTGTGTATGAGTGTGAATATGTGTGTTAAGGTCTGGTCCCTGCTGGCCTTAGTTCCTCTTCTTTTTCTTCTTGTTTCTTGTGAACAGTTTGATTAAAACTCAGGAAGCAGCAAAACCTCCAAAACAACACGTGTGTGTGCTCACACATGCCCGCAGGCCAGAGCCCTCCCTTCTGCCGGCCCCGCCTGGGCATCCCCCTCCGCTCCCTGTGACCCCATCATTCTCCCTTTTGCTGGCTGTTTTTGTCACACCCTTGCCCCAGCCCTGCTCCACGTCTCCTGCCTGTGTCTTCTGTGGAAAGGGTCCCCACTCCATCCAGCTCTTCCTTCAGAGGTTCATCCTATGGGGCAGGGGCTGCCTCTTCCCCGACCAGCGCCCTGCCCGCCACCCTACCCTCCTCGGGCCCCGGACTGGCACAGCCCCAAGAGCCTGCGTATCTGTCGGACTGGGTACACTGTGTGCAGACTATAGAGCCTCCCACTGGCTGTGCCCACTCCGCACCTGCGGGCTCACACCAATTCACACCTTGTCCAGGTAGGAACAGGCCCAAGACAGGCTAGTAGACAGGCCCCTTTGTACAGTTCTTACAATAAATCTCCACCTCATGCCTGACACATGCGCTTCTTCCTTCCGCGGCTCCAAGCACGGATGTCAACGGGGGCTGAGGGCAGCAGGGAGCCAGAAGGACTGGGGGGGATTGGAGCCCACTAAGACTCGAGGAGTCTGAGGGGGGTGAGGAATGGCCCCAACTCCCTCCTCTGGTCCTGTATGGTTCTCTCCTGCCCCCCTCTAAAAGGCCTGAACTGCAGCTGGAGTCCAAGGGGTCCGCTGAGGTCAAGGGTCACATCCCTCCCTCTGTAGCAGGTGGCAGCACACCTTCTGCTCACCTGTGACGGCGCTCAGGAACTACGCGCTGGGACCCTGCATCCCCGGCCCTCCTCTCTGGAAGCCCCTTCACTTCTCTGCCCCCACTCCCAGAGGCCCCGGGGTGCCCATGGGGCACATGGTTTGTCCCCTCCCTCTCCTCAGAGTTACTATCCCCTCCCCCCAGGACCCTGCCTCTGGTCCCCTACCCGAGAGCCCAGGGTCTCCTGGGCCTCTGACAAAGAGTAATATGCAGTGAGCTTGGTCTGTAATCCCAGTGGGTGAAATATAATTTTGTATATAATCTTGTTTTCTGCCACTTGATTTCCGTGCCCCTTTTTCCCTGAGTCTTGAAGGACAGAAGGAAGAAAAGGCAAGCTACTGAGCAACGTAGACGACGTAGGCTGACGTTTCAGGGCCAGCCCCACTCCCCGGGCAGCAATGCCCCACATCACTTCTGGGGGGCCATGCCCCCAGCTGCCTCGCTGAGCAAACAAGGATTGCCTGCCAGGCTCACCACTGCCCTACGAAGAACATGTTATTATGATGATTTCTATTCTACATAAATGAAGAAACTGGTCTCTGAAAGGTGAAGAATGGGTGTTGCTTAACTGGGCATGTGAGGCAGAGAAATCTGCTTTGTGAGACACAGTCCCTCCCACTGCAGGGCCTTTAGCGCCCCCGGTCCACAAATGCCAGTGATGCCGACCAATCCTTAAATGGCCACGATGTGTATCCAAATGCTCCCTGAAGTGGAGAGGGACAAGCCTCATTGAGAACCACCAGGTAATTTGGGGAGACTTTCTAGCTGGTACACAGTAGGGCCAGGATTCAAACCTGTATCCTGTTAGCCAGCAAGCATCCTCCTGGTAACAGAACAAACAGCCCAGGAATATAAACCTCACCTGAGGTCAGCTGGGGAACCGAGCGGAGCCAGTATGAGTGGGCTGGGGGAGGGGCAGAGGTCTGAGCCCTTCTTTTCAAACTGAGGTTCTACTACCCTCACCCATCTTCCCACAGTTGCCAAGGGTCCCTCTTGCTTCCCCAACCCCCTGCACCCCTTTTCCCCTCTCCCAGCACCCTGTGTCCTATTTTGATGCTGCCTTCCTGGCAGGGTGGAGCCCGCCAGATGTCGGGATGCGCAGCCCAGGGGAGCCAGGGGCAGAGGTCTCATGTTCCAGGAAAGAAAAGGCGTCACAAACCCCAGACAGAGCTTGGTACTGTTGTCACTGGGGAGGGAACAGCACGGACCCAACAATGACAAATAACCCTGTAGGCGGTGGGCCCCTCTGCCCCACCCCCTCTTGAAAGCAGATCCCTGCCTGGCATAAATGGGAATGAGTCCAAAGGACACATCTGTGGCCCTGACCCCCCACGGGGGGTGTGGATGTGTGTGTTTGGAGGATGCCAACTGCCCCCCAGCCTTTGTGCCCCTTATAGTCACCCTGGGCCCTAGGACCAGCTTCTGAGCAGGCCCCATGCCACACAGCTTGGGCAACACCCGCATGCTAGCACACACATGCACATGTACATGCATGTGCCCCAAGCCTTCCCCAATTATCCTCCCACCTTTGGAGGACACGAGCCCCAAAGCTAACCAAGGCCTAAATCACCAGGAGGTACTCTGCGAGAGGAAGACACCCCTGGATTGCCCCCCATTCCGCTGGGGAATTCTCCAAACATCCCTACCGATACCAGGGCCCTGTGGTCCTCAGGCTGACCTCAGGTGACGTTTACAATCCTGGGCTGTTTGTTCTGTGAACTGAACATCTGACACCTTTTCAGGGAAATGTTTTTTCATTTGCAACATCTGGAAACAGCAAGAACATCTGGGGCCGCCAGGAACAAGCAGCTCCGTGGAGGGATAAAACCTTAACCCTCCTGTCCCCGCTTATGGTAGTGCTGGTCCTGGCCCCTGCTCCCCAGGGGGCCCCCCTGTGCCAGGTGGGGCCTCTGTCTAGGGCCGAGAGGCAGCACCCAGGCCTCCGCCTTCCTCACCACCAACCCTGGCGTGGGAGGCGGGTCCACATCTCCCTGAATCCAAACAGACCCACCAGCAGCACAGGCTGTTTGAAAAAGGAGGGTGGTCAGAGAATGAGATTCAACATCTTTCTTCTCTTCCTGGGGGCTAGGAGAACAGAGAAAGAGGGGACGAGACAGAAAAGGGGCTGCCAGGAAACCTAAGTCCGGGGTCGGGCTCAGCTGCTCGCTCAGGTTCGCAGGCGGACCAGGTACCGCTGTGCAGGTTGTGTGCTGCACGGGGGCGCCACCACCGCCTCGCAGGGGCTCAGCCTGTGTCTGGCCGGGGGCACAGAGTGGAGCTTAGACAAGCTCCTGATCACCGTGGTTCCACCCACCTTTCTGCTGACTGGTGAGATAAAGCCAGAGAGCCTTTCAGTTTCAGAGCCTGGAGCCTCCCCAGGCTTCGCCTCCTGTCTGTCCGCCACCCAAAGATGCCTGGAGCTGTGGACAACGCCTCAGTGCCCTGCGAGTCCCCTGAGCTGAGTGGTGGGTTTTCCCTTAGCCATTTCCACCTAAGTCCATCCCTGTCAGCAGCTCCCAGCAAAATCTCCCACCAAGTGAGGGAGGGAAGCCTCACGCCAGGGCCTGGACCAAATCTTCTCCTGAGCAGCAGCCACACTTAGCCTCCTCTTGCTCAAGAACCTCCGTGGCTGCCTTATTCCACAGGGTCAAATTTCCACCGACCTCTAACATGGCTGCCTGCACTCCAGCCAAAAGGCTGTGCTCTGGGCCCCTCCTGGTGCCTGGCCTGGGTCCATAGCTGCCCCCTATTCTCTAGTTCATCTACAAGACCCATGTGTGTTCAGCTAAGTGCCTGGAATCTAGACTTCAGGATGGGAGGCTAGCAGGCCCTAGGGTGGCCATGGGGTGGAGTCACACAGAGGAACACACAGGCTGCCCTGAAGACTCAGAGGTCCCAGCCCCCAGGGATGACCACCGTAGACCTGAACTGTGGTGCCCAAGCTGGGGTGACTTTTGAGCCTTAGCAGCACAGCTGACAAAAGAGCCCGCCCTTCCCCAGGCTCCCCAGAGAGCTGGTGCCTCCCCTGGGTCCCGATTTGCATGGCAGGAAGGGGCCTGGTGGGGAAGAGGCAGGGAGGGGACAGTCTATAGCCCAGGCAGTTACACGTTTTCCCCGCAGGAGCCTTCGTTGTCATCATCAGGGGCTTGGGATCAGAGACGGAGCGGTGACCATGGCCGGGCTGGAGTTGTCCCCTGTGCCCAGCAACTGGCTGCTGGTGCTGCTGATGCTTCTCTCAGGTACAAGCCCCCTTTGACAGGGCCTGCTGTTTTTACTCTGTCTCTCTGTTTCCGCTGGTTCTGTCTCCGGCTCTCTGCACTCTCCTCCTGTCTCTCACACTTTCGGCCTCCAGACTCCCTCTGACTTCTGCCCTAGGGCCTGGGTCTGTGGGTATCACAGCCAGGCTGACAGGCTCAGGGGTCTGCGCCCCCAGCCCCTCTCTGGCCTGCAGGTGTGAGGCTGAGCTAGGCCTGCGGGGCTGGTGGTTCTGACTGCGGAAGAGCCAGACCAAGGAGGAAGAGAGGAGTGTGGTTCACCCACTGAGGACCTGTGTTGGGGGAGGCAGGGGAGAGGCTGCTGCCAGTGAGACCCTGGAACATACATATTCCAGAAATGGTGCCTCCAGAAAAAGAAGGGAGAGCTCTTTAGCTGTACCTTCCCTCTGGTCTTATCCAGGTGCCTGCTCAAGGCAGGAGGGGGCCGGGAGATAGATCACACCCGACTCCTGTCTCTCCAAGCAGGGCTGGGGAGGGCTGAGGGGTCTTGAAGCCGCTGTCGGGGAGGAGGAAATGGGAGGAAGAGGGTCTGGGAATTTAGATGGCGGAAGGTGTGCAGGGGTGGGGCAGCCAGCCTCAAGGAGAGGACCTGACCGGGCTCCGCCCACTTCCTCCAAACCTGCAGGTGAGACCGCCTTCGCAAACAAAACAGTGGACCAGGCCCTGATTTACAAAGGTCAGCAAGTTCTCCTGATCCTTCTGGGGGCAAGGATGCCTATGTCCAATGTCAGTCACTGTCCTTACGACTGTCCCTTGTGCCCTTGTCCTCTTGGTCTCCCCATCCAGAGCTCCCATCTCTAGGCCTCCTTAGGGTCTCCCTCTCCAAGGCCTGGCTTTGAGGTCCCTTGCGGGGCTCCAGCCCCGCCCCCTGCCAGTTGTCATGTTCCTTAGACAGGAGTGTCTCAAGCCCTATGACTGAGGGGCTGAGTTAGTCAAGCTGGGGAGTCAGACTCAGCCCTAGAAGGAGCCCATAACCTTAGGGGCTCTGATAGCACACAGGGGCTCAGGGTTCCCTAGGGGGCCACTCAACAGATGGTGAGACACGGGGGAGGCTTCTTAGAGCAAGTGGGCGGGGAGAACATGCCAAGTGAGAAAGAAGGTTTAGGAATAAAAAGTGGAGCCAGTCCACACAGGCCAGTGGAGGAAGGTGATGGAGGAAAGAGGGTTAGGGGAGTCAATGCGGCGAGGGCCTCAATTGCCAGGCTACGGATTTGTGGGGAGCCCCTAAGGATTTCGGGCTGGCGCAGGGTGGCCCAGGGCAGGGAGGGGTGGGGGCATGGGCCAGGTCCTCTCATGCCCCCGGGCGTGAGGCCTGGGTCAGGCTGCTGTAATGGGCATGGAAAGGAATCAGAAGGTTCCAGAGCCCTTCTAAAGGAAAAGCAAAGGTCAGGAAAGGGTGAGGTGCAGTGGTTTGGACTGTGGTCTCTCACATGGCTCCACTCCCCCGCACCTCTGCCTCATGATTGTCCTATACCCTGAGAAGCAAGGACAGACCAAGGGGGCTGAGCCAGGGGTAAGTGCCACCCAGGGTGGGGGCCCATGGTGAGGCTAGCAGTTGGGAAGACACTGGGTGGGATTTCGATCCAGGCCTTGGCTCCCACAGGAGGCTCTTGTTCCAGTATCTGGCAGTCCCCACGTTTCGTGGCCAAGAAACGAGGTGCCGTGGTGAAAATAAACTGCAACATGGAGATCAAGGGCAGCGTGAGCTGGCTATGGAAGCAGGACATGAACTCAGAGGCCAAGGAGCTGGCTCCGGAACAGGACCGCATCCTGCAGACCCACACCTCTTCAAATGCCACCCTCATCATTCAAGGCATCCAGTTTCAGGACAACGGCATCTACTTCTGTCAGCAAAAGTGCAGGAATGGGGACACTGATCAGAGCTGCGGCACTGAACTTCGAGTCCTGGGTGGGTGCAGAGACTGCCCTCCAGCCAGGGGGGCTGGGAGAGTGAATGGGGCCACAAGGTGTTCATGGAGCCACCCACACCCCACCCCAGCCCAGCCTGCCACCTGCGAAGGGCCGCATGGTAGAGATGGCCATGGCCCTAGAGCACCCAGGGGGGCCGCTGAGAAAAGGTCCCGAGGGGTGCAGGCCCAAAGTGGGGCCCCGGCCTCATCATCCCTGTCCCACGTCCCACCAGGGTTCAGCACCTTGGCCCAGCTGAAGCGACGGAATGCGCTGAAAGATGGCATCATTATGATCCAGACCACACTCATCATCCTCTTCATCACTGTGCCCATCTTCTTGCTGCTGGACAAGGTGACCTTGGGGAGTGGGGAGGCCGCTGTGGGGCAGGGTCTCCATCTGCCCAGCCCGGAGTCTGTCCATTGACTCACCTGTTCCTTTGCTCCTTCACTCATTCAGTTGTTCTTGCAGAGTTCACCTCACCCCCTGACCCCTGGCTCCTCACCCCTGACCCCTGACCCCAAGCCAATCCCTCTGGCTCTCCCCAGCCTGGCCCACAGTGTATGGGGTAGGGGAAGCCAACACTCTGCTCTCCATCTCTTGCCCCACCAGGATGACAGTAAGCCTGGGATGGAGGAAGACCACACCTACGAGGTGAGGAGCAGGCAGACCTCCAGCTCTGAGGGCCATCGGGGTGGTCTGCAGCACCGTCTGCTGGTGTGGTTGGGGGGTGGACAAAGCCTGAGCTCCATTCCATATCTACAGGGCCTGAACATTGACCAGACAGCCACCTACGAGGACATAGTGACCCTGCGGACAGGGGAGGTGAAGTGGTCGGTGGGTGAGCACCCAGGCCAGGAGTGAGAGACCGGCCCTCCCCTCGCCCCTGGGCACCGCCTGCTGGGCCCGCAGTGACTGCTTCAGAGCCGCCTGGCTCCCAGTCCATCCCTTTTCCTTGGACCCCCTGTTGGCCTCCAAAGCTGGCCTGCCAGATCTGCCTGCCCCTCCAGCCCCCAGTCCCCAGCCCTTGCCAAAGGGACTGGAGTAGAAGGGCCACTGGGCAGTGATTTGGGGCAGGGAGTTCTCTGGGGATAGACTGGACCCAGTCTTTCAGGGTGCTATGCAGGGATCCACGCCACGGTCAGGACAGAGAAGGCACAGACTTGTCTGGAACCTACAAACGGACTACAGCTTCCCGTGAAGCCTGGGAAGGGCCGAGGCCCAGCCCCACTTGGCCACAGATGGGCCACCGAGAGCTTCGTTCCTATCCTACCCTCTCCCACCCCAGGGGGCTCCTAGCCTTGAGCCCATTCTCCCACAGAATAAACAATGTGTCTTAAGAAACCACACCCAGGCTTGTGACATCTATGGGTATGGGGTGAATGAGAGTATCTGAGCACAAATATTTGGGCACCTGTGGGACTATGGGATGTGGGAGGGGACAACTGCACGAGGCTCATGGGCCTCTCCTGGACTCACTCGCTGGTTCTCTCTGAAGGTCCAGCTGGGACCTGTAGTCATGTCCTCCTTTATTCCTGTGCTCTGGGCCCCGCGCAGCTGGAAAAAGGCTGATTGAATGGGCCTCCTCCTCAGTGGGGCTGCTCTCATCCTGCATTTCCTGCAGCCGACAAGTAGTACTTGAGTCCTGCTCTGTAGGGCAGGGGTCTCAGCCCTGAAGGAGATTTCCCTCCCCTGCCCATCCCAATCCTGCTGTCCTTCAAGGCCCTCCACCTACGGGAAGCCCTCCCAGAGTGCCCCAGTCCCTGCCCAGTCCTTGTTCAGACCCTAGCCTCTGCCGCTCTGGCTTAGCTGCAGCCCTGTGCTGCCCACACTAGCCTTGTTTTCCAGTTAAACCAGAAGCTGCCTGAGGGCAGGAGATCCCCTGCCTCTACCACACCCCCCACCGCACTGGCCCCCACCAAGCCTGGAAATTTTTGTTGTTGTTGTTTGACAAAGAGCCAGGTAAGAGAGACTCCTAAAAAGGGAGGCTTTGTGGTGGTAAACTTTGGGTTGGGGGAGGGGGGGCTTAGTCAGGTGACCCCCTCATTTTCCAATCATCACATAGAAGTCTCCTAGGGTTACAGGATCACCACAATGTGGTCCCTAGGGCCCTACAAATTAAGGCCCCAACCTGCCAGCTGCTGGAGTGACTGGGAGCAGCTCACAGCTGGGAGCTCAAGTGCAAAGCCAGGCTGTGCTCCACTTCCTGTCCACTTCCTGGAGACCCTAAAACACTTCTTTACCATTCATGCTCTGGATTCAGGTGGGAGAAATCCCTGCCCTCAGGGGCCTGGAGAGCCAAGACCACCAGCTTGTAGGGACCAGCGAGAGCAGCATCATTTTTTAACCAGCTTCCCCCTGGAACTCGGGGTGGGGCAGGCGACTAAGGCCCCCAGCCCTGGGATTCAAGTGAATCTCTCCATTGCTTGGCGATGCCCACTCGGAGCCAGGCTAGGCCAAGCAGGGCCAGGCCTGCTCCCTCTATGGTCTCTGGGCCACCACAGGGAACTGGCTTGTTTTGGCATCTGCCTCCACTGAGCTGGAGCCCTTCCTCTCTGGCTGCTTTGCATAGTGGCACTAATTCTGTCCTCCTACCTCCACCAGGGACCCTGGGCAGCCGGGCTGGGGGTGGGGGCCAGTCTTCACTTCTCCCTGCTTCAGGGTCTCCCCCCTGCTTGGGGCTGCCCTGAATTAAGGGAGGCCTTGACTTTACTGAAAGACAACACCTTTGAATAACTGAGTTTCCCTAATGCTTTGAAGTGTTGTCAGCAGAGAATCATTGGAGCAGCCAGGCCTGCCTTCTCCGCCAGACACCCCAGAAGGGCATTTGCCTTCATGATTATGATATAGGAGCCCTCCCCGGTCTGTTTCTCTGTTTAGGGGTGTCGTCATGTCTGACTCAGGCAGTGGAAACAAAGGCGGGTGATGCTGATGGGGATGGTGAACGTCTCAGGCCTCAGTTGCTTTATCTGCAAAATGGGAATCAAAACCTGCTTGAGGAACGGGCGTTGAATCAGATGCTCTTTTTTCTTTGATTTTTAAAAGTATCATACAGTAAAATTCACTTTGTTTCCTTTCAGTGTATAGTTCGACGAATTCTATCTAGCACATACACAGGTTAGTATAACTACTACCACAGTCAAGATACACAACATGAAACAAAATTTTTTACCGGACCCCCCAAATATTTATATATTGAGCACCTCTTAAGGCCAATAAAGTTATATCGAGTATCTCCATATTCATTTACATGATCTTGCTGAAGCCCCAGCATACCCTGGAAGGGGTACCGTCTTTGCCAAGGTTTCCCATTGCTCACCAGTCCCAAAACCTCAAAGGCCCCACTCCTTCCTCATAGGCCAGATGTGGCGCCACTGGCAGCCCCCAGGAGTCCCGCTTTGGCTGGGCTGCTGCTTGGCCCGCCCCCTCCCCAGAATGCAGCCCTGAGGCCCCTTGGTGGGCACATGCCTCATTGCCCACTGGGGGAATCCAGCCCAGTCCCTGGGGCCCCGGTGTAAGCACAGGCTGCTTCCTCCTCTGTTCTAGCTTGACTTCCTGCCCTCTCACTGCAGGTGCTGCTAGGCCTGGGCCGCTCCGGCCAAGAGTCTGGGTATTTTTCCAGCAGATTGGAGGAGAAAGAAAAACAAAACAAAACACAAAAATCTGCCCCTGTTTGGGTGTCACTGGCAGGTGGTATTCGTCTCTTAGCAGGTGTCTAGCCTGGCTGGGTCTTCTGGGAAGGGCCTCAAAGGCCATCTCGGCGCATGGGGTTAGGGAGTCCTAGGTTCTGTCCACGCATGCTCTGCTCCCTTTAGATGACCTCAGTAACTGGATTCAGGCCCATATCGGGAAATTCTTGAATCTGTCTCTGCTGTCCATGCTGCACCTGGTAATGGCCCCTCAGGAACTGCCGGTGACTCAGTTGCAAACAAAAACAAAAACAACCCTCACAAACCTTCCACTTGGAACCCCTCAGCTGCTGTCCCCAACCGAAAGCCCTTTCTCGGAAACTTGGTGACTCCACGAAGAACAAAACTTAACAAACATTAAACCCTGAATTCAGAGTAGTTTGTTAAAACACATTTAGATGGACACTAATGCAATTTCCAAACTAAAAAAAAAAAAGAGAGAGAGAGAGAAAGGGAGAGAGAGAGAGACATTTTTCTCTGGGACCTAACACCACTTTCTCACATTGCATAAGTGGGAGGACTAGATACCTTGTGAGGTTCCACTTACGGCGCACGTTCTGAAAGTTGTGGGTCTGCGCAGAATATTTGTGTGTATTTGGAATCCACATCTGCAACCTGCCTCGTCTACTTTTTTCACTTAATTATTTTCATGTATGTATTTTCATGCATTGCAAGATCCTGTACTTGTTCTTATTATTCTTTGTACTTATTTTATTATTTTTTAAAGATTTTATTTATTTATTTTTAGAGAGAGGGGAAGAAAGGGAGAAAGAAAGGGAGAGAAATATTGATGTGCAAGAGATACATCGATCAGTTGCCACCTGGGGACCTGGCCTGAGACCCAGGCATGTGCCCTGACCTGGAATAGAACCAGCAACCCTTCGGTTCCCAAGCTGTGTGCATTCCATTGAGCCACACCAGTCGGGGCTGTACTTGTTATTTTAAATCACTCTACTATGAGGAGGACATTGAGATGCAACGTGGCCTGCCTAGTCATTTTTGGCCAAGTGGATATTTGAGTTTCTTTCCTTGGCACTGTCCTTCTAATTGCTCAATCTACCAAGCAGATGCCTGTTGAGTTCCTGGACCTGGGACCACGCCAATTGCTGGTTCACCCCTCTCCCCAGGCTATTCCCTCAATTCCGTATCTTAGCTATTTCCTTCATAGCAGTTTGCACAATGTAAAATGTCTGTATATATTTTACCATTATCTATTTATCTGTTTGCTATTGTCTCTCTCCCTGTAGACTGTAAGCTCCAGCAGAGAAAGAATCATGTTTTTTGTTCATCTCAGGATGCCCATCTGCCTGGTATGGTGTCTGGCATATGGAAGAAGCAACAATGACTTGTTGAATCAGTGAGTACATGAATAAGAGAATGAATGAATGAATGAATGAATGAATGAACATACAAATGAACGAACAAATGAATGAAAGAAATCCAGGCTCAAAGAGCCTACAGTCCCATAAGGGAATAAGATATCTACTTATAAACACAGAATAAGGCGAATGGAGGCAGAAGTTATTTCCAGCTACAGTCACTAATCTGGTAAACACCCGAGACTTCCCACGGCTGCAGGACACACCTTAGTTCTTATGATTTCTTTTTCACTTGGCCTTTCTCCCTGGAGAATAAGGCATCAAGTGGAAATTACCTAGTAGGTCCACTTATGTAGATTGCTGTGCATTTCTAGATTGTTCAGAAATCCTCGACCAGTTGTAAACAACACGCTCCAAGACCTGCCCTCCCTGCTTGAACCCCTGGCTAACCCTAGGGTCTGATGAGATAAAGGAAGTGAAAACACAATGCACACTGAAACGTGCAATACAAATGTGAGGGATGATGTGGCTTGGTTCATTAAATTGGGCTACAGCAGGTTGTTTTTCTGTTGCTTTTCTTGGTGCCTATGGACCTCATTCGGGGCTGCAGCTCCTTGCATTCAATTACTCCCACCTTCCTTGAACATCTGAGTGGAGACTTGATGCTGCCCTGGTAGCTTTGCGCTGAGGAAAGTTCTGTCCACACCCAGCAGCTCCACTGTCTTTGCTAAAGGAGGCTTCTAAAGAGCTGGGTGCAGTGAGAACACCAAGCTCTGGGCAGCCAGCCTTTAGGAGGCGGAAGGCTCTGGCAAACTGCTTTATCTCTTTTGGCCTGAGTGTGGTCTATGAAATAGGC